AATGAGGGGTCCTGGAAGTGCTGGAAGGGAGAGGGGGAGGAAGGGGGAGGGGGGAAGAGAAACAAAGTTGATCACTTGGCCATCCAGCCATCAGGACCATCTTAGGAAAGTCTGCCCAACACTGCTGTAAGCATTTTCACCTGACGGCACACTGCAAGACTCCAAAAGCCACCAAGTGAAATCCAAGCATAAAATACAACCCATTGCAGGTAAAAATCTCCTCAGGCTGTTATTCACACTAAAGGTTCATCTAATGGAATTATCTGACACATTTTGACACAAGATCTTTTGAGAAAATTATTTCCCCATTCTTGTGCCAAGATGTTAGCTGCCCAAGATGTTAGTCAGCCCAAGTATTCTATATACACAACAGTGAAGCTCATCAAAATTTAAAACTGTTTCATTGTTTTTGACAGGGATAGTGACAGTAATTACATATCTGAACAAGAAGTATCAGTGTCACTGTGAAAAACATTTTGGGAACACTTCAATAGCCTGAGTTTTCTGAAAGAAAGAGGAAAATAAACACATCTTCCTTTTAGACACCTAATAATAGTTGAAGGACAGAAGAAAGACACACAAGGAGTTTTATAATGTTTAAACTTAATTTCTATTTCATCAAGGCAAGCTGTATTACTAGTACAAAGCCCTGCTAACACCTGAGCTAAACAAAAGATTTTAGATGTGCAGGAAAAACTGTTTTAATATTGCAAAGCCAAAGCATTCAAAATTCAAGATATTTGCTTCTCCTGCCAATACAATCAGTAGTTGATAGCACAGTCAACCATGCTATCAATCCTAAGAACACTTATATTTAAACTTCAGCCTTACCATTTTTAGTTACCAAAAACTGTTTGTCTGTTGGCAGATAAGCCTTGACTTTTAGTTCTTCTCCTGAAGCCCTGTAAAATGAAGTGCACCATAAAAGGTTGAGAATTTGATGATCTGCAAACAAAAGAACCCTTCTATTTTCACTGTATATCAGGAACATTACATATAGTCTTCTTGACCTATTCTCAGAGTCTGTTTGCTATGACTTTACTCTTCCCTATATAAACACTTTGATGTAAGAGATCAAAAAGGTTGGCCACCCCTAAACTCTACACTCTTAGATCAAAACTATTTTCTGCTTCAAAAACTACTTTCACTTTAAGATGGTCAAGAAAAGATGGGTTGAAGGACAAATACACTCTATATAGAACAGCAACAGAGATCCAAATGTTTGAATAAAGCAACTTCAGAAAAAGCAAGAAACAGACCTCTACAAATATAAAACCTGCCCACAGTCACTAGAGCTCAAGTAATCTTTGCCAAGTTCACATTACTGAAGCATTTGCTTTCACTTTCAGTGAATTTTGGTTTAAAGTAAGACCAACATTCTAAATGGCCTGTTCTAAACTGCTGGCACATAGGCCAGACTCAACATTGTATTTTCTCTCAAGGTGATGGTAAAAGGGCAAGAAACAATGATTAAAGCATAATAATTCCTCCTTCAGCAATTCATGGCCTAGTATAGAGCCAAGAACCTTGATGATACCAACTGCACAGACAATGCTCATCTAAGCACTGATTTAGTTTTATAATGCAAGACATTAGTAGAACATGAGGAATCACCCTATTTGCACCCTTATTGTGTATGAAAGATAAGGAACTTCCAAGGGCAAGCACTGCTCAAAGTAAGCTGATGCGGGCCAACTTGAACATAATCAATTAATAAATGCTTGTCTAAAATACACTAATTACAACTACTTCTTAGCTGCATGTAGCCTTTGCTTTTTGAATCAAGACAAGCTCAGGGAGACATGCTACCACAGCTAAGCACTGAAAGCATTCACAGTATGTATTGGCTTATTTCCTCTAAAACCTTAGGAAACAAAAAATCCCCAAACAAATCCTTGTCTCAACTACTGCTACACAGCAATAAGTAAGTCCTGCCTGACTTAAGATAGCTTCATCATAAAACCAGCATAAGTTCTACTGAAAGAGTCCATGTATTGTTATGAAATGAGACAAATGTATAGTCGCATTCAATGGAAGCACATTAAAGCATAATAGGGATGCTAGCTTTCTATAACTCTCTTCATTTTACTTACCATTGCCAAGTAGGACAGTGGTGAACTAAGTGATCTCCAGCTGCGACAAACTGTTAATGCAGGAAAAAAATTGAAGTACTGTTAAATACAGCATATGGAAACAATCTCCAACTTTCCTCAATATTAGTAGTTCAGTTGCACATTCCTTTGACAGATTAACTATGTAACTAACAATTGTTTAGATCAGTTTGATGCTTTATTTTAACTCAATTTCCAGCTAACCATGAAAACTCAAAGACTAAATTGACTTCAGCTGAAGGAAATGCATACTAAGCACAACAACAAATTCAGGTATTTTAAAAAGCTGTGGTATATACTCTATCAGTCTTGAAACAAGCAAAAAAGTTTCTAGACCCAGCAGCATCGTTTACTTTGTGATGAAGAAACTGTTTTTATTTGCCACTCTTCAAACAAAGTTTTACAAAGACAATGAAGAGCTTAATGTAAAAAAATAAATAAATTATCTTTCGGTGTTTAAAACAATTTTGCAGCAAGCAGAAAAGTGAGACTGACATCAATTCATTGAATTGATGAAAAAACTGCAACAGAGGAATAAACAGTATACATTTTAAGTAATGACCATCACTGTAATAGTTCACCCCTGACGTTAACTAAATAAGGATAACCATACGTTGAAAAACCTTATGTGTAACTGTTCTGAAGAAATAGCTTCTAAAAAATCTCCAGGCTACTTGAGCTTAATATCAGAGACAAATGATTTTATAAAATTACATCACTACTTTGAAGTTGTATTGCAAAACTCATGCTAGGCTTCTAGACAAACTCAAATTCATCCAGAAAAGTCTAACCCACTGGCTTCTTTTTGTATGCATAAATTGAGAAAGGCAAGCCTGCACCCAAGAAAAGCTATTTGTGTGGTCTTTTGCACCAGTTACTTTTGAAAATGAGGGGCATACCCATTGCTACAGTTGCTTTCTTGTCTTAAAATGCCAGTTTATAACAATACACTTTTAATTAACCAGAAGCTGTTTGTAAGTGGTGTGTCAGTCATTTTATCACCATGTCCTCCAAAGCGAGGCATATCAGCATAGTGGAAAACACCACAACACGCACTGCATATGGATTAGCAGACTTAATCTCTGCAGAACTGCTTCCTTTCATCCACTTTCCAACAGAAGTCTCTAGCATAGGTGAAATCTTCTAAGAAAACAGCAACCCCTCCCAATACACATCAAAATTTTAAAACTCATTAGCCTTAACATAATAATAAACAACATATGAAACTCCAGAATTATTTAGAATTCTCTGTTCAAGGAACTGGAACCAACTGGCAACAATGCTACAAAATATTCCTCAAGATGAAAAAAAAAGTTAAAGTATTCTTTGTGGGTCTAATAGATGCAAAACCCTAGAACAATACTTGAAATGTCATTTGCATTTTCTTCAGCTTAGGCAGCAGAATTATCTAGCTGCTTTCACTTTCTACTTCTCAAGCACTAATGCTATCTCATACCTGAACCAATATTGCAAAAGACACCAATTTCAGGACAACATCTTACTTCTACTCCTGTAAAGTATGATTTTTAAAATTTGCCAGTACTTACACGTAAGATTAAAACAGGTGTTATCTTTCTGAGGTATTAACTAGTAAGAACAGGCAAGAATTTGTTCTCATTAAATCAAGTACAGAAGTACATGAAAAGAGGGAGCAACTGTCGAATTTGAATAATGAGTCATTTTTTAGCCTTATTCCTAACTGATTCATCTTCTGAGGCAAGCCACAGGAACCCCCCAAAGTCTATAAAACAGCATCTCAGACTAAAATTCAATTGAATTGAGATTCATTACCCAAGAAATTCAAAGTCATCCGAAAACAATATCCTAGCAATATCAATGCTTTGAATCTTTCTTTAGCGATCATTACTATATAAAGACCAAAATCCTCAGGGAAGAAGAAAGACTGTCAAGTGGACAATCAGCAGGTCCATGTTTCAGTCTCATCTAAATTTATCAAAAAATTAATCCTGCTGTAGAATTGTTTCCCTTGACTACTGCTTTGAAGGATCCAATTCGGTCTTCCTATCAGAATCTAACTACAGAGAATACACACTATTCACATTCTTGATGTTTAAATGCTACAAAGTGTTTAACATAACATAGTGTGGTTCTTGCTACGTTCTATAGAAAGCCCCTTTCATTTCAGTACTACTACAAAATTTTCTCCCATGATCAAGAAGGGATTAAGCATTAGTAAAACATCTGTCTAGACTTTCTCTGTTATATTTGTTTTACAGACAATATAAATAGTAAACCTATTATTGTGTAATATATAACATATATTTATATACACTTATACACACACACATATGCTTATCAGAACAGCAGAACATCATGTTGCTAAGCCTGTTTTTCTGACCTTGCTTGCTTGCCATGCAACACAGCAGAAATATGCTATAGCTCCCAACGTTAGGAAAAATACTTCTGTTCAAATTATCTACCTGCATCAGTCATCATTTGTTTCATTTTTTTCCATCTCATCTTCACGTTTGTGCAGTCTGCCTTGTTTCTCTTTCATTCTACCTAACAGTTTTAACATTGTTTTCTTAAACCTCTGTGAAGACAATATATTTTCAGAACAGTAACACTTTAATGTGAGAAAAAGTAGAAGTGAGAAGTCAAAATAGCACTGTACAATCAGTGTTTCTACTATTCTAAAAAAAATAAAAATAATAAAAAAAAAAATCCTGTTTCGTTATCTTCACAGCAGACTCCTTGAAAAAACTACTACTACTTGGCAGCAATCCAAAATACAACCAGCTGAAGTAAGCTATAGAGAAAAGGAGGGGAAAAGTAGTAATCACTAGATACTTGGTGTGGACAAGCATATATAATGATTTAGCCAGAGCCTTGGAAGGAAACAAAAGTGAGGTAAGCAAAAGACTGTTTCCAAGACACAAGCTCCCCTCTGAGCTGCTTATGGGAAAGACTTCTAAAATCAATATATTCCTGTTTGAGTCCAGAACTACGACAAATGGAGCTGTTGACCTATCACAAGCTTCTTTACAAGCTTTTTGTGACATAATCCAGGAAAAAAGCATTCCACTTTCAGATGTCAAATGTCATCTCAAGAGAAATTCTGTTGCTCTATTTCATCTCTAGAGCAAAAAGGCCATTTAGAACTTTCACTTCGTGAAAATTGTTTCAAGAAGCAATAATTAATTGGCAAAGACATGAACTGTTTGAGATTAGCATGGTCATTTTGACTAAAATTTATCATTACTTTCCAAATATATTTCAAAGTTTCTAAATACTTACTTCTTCAGGTGTGATTACTCCAGTTTCTTTGAACTTTGACTCCTGCAATAAAGAAAGGTTAGAAATTTTGAGAACTGCTGACAAATGGAAGTACCCCACTTTACCAGTAAGACAAACATAGAATCAACTAGGTTGGAAAAGACCTTTAAGATCATGAAGTCCTGCCTTGGAACTAGCACTGTATACAGGTATCTGTTAATCAGCTTGGAGACGACCTCTGCCAGGGCTGACAGGCAGCCTACTTCCATATCCTCTGTTGTACAGCTCGATAAAATTACTTCTTACAGGATGTGGGGTATTATGAGAAAAGATCACACACATTAAATAGTATTTTTGCTACAGCCATTTAATATATAAAAACTGGAGAAAATATCCTGCAACACTATTACATTTGCCAGTAAGAGAAAACAAGTCTGAATCAGTGATTCTCAGAATCAAGACTTTGGGACTGTTCTAGGCACTGAACAGCACTACGATGCGTGAGTATGGGGCTTTGCAGTTAAGAAAGGTCAGTAAACGAATGACTAAACCAACTTTTCTCTGTGCTAGGAAAAGTTACGTAGAAAGACTTAACTTTTTTTTTGCATACCCATTTTTGTGCCATCATTACGCACCCTACAAAAACACTTTGGATTTTCTCATATTGCCATGTTTTCTTATGAATGAGGAACAGATAGTAATGAGCAACATGATTTAGCTCTGCAAGGAGAAATTAAGTACTTTTGCAGCAAAGACGATATTTATGAAGTTTAAGGATAAGACTTCTTTTAGCATATTCAAATCTAGAATATTTTGTTTCAGACTTCTGTTTCTGTTTGGTTTTTGTGGGGTTTTTTTGTTTGTTTTTCTTCAGAAAAGTCACAAGCATCAAGGAAATAGTGTGTTCCCCAGCATTAGAGCTATCTAAGAATGGCTTTTGAAGAAGAAGTCATTTCAACCATGGCATAGCTGACTTTTCAAGTTCTTCCATCATCAATTACTGAATAACTTCTTGTCCTAAAGAACTTTTCTTCCCCCCCCCCCAAGACTAAAAGCAGCAACCGAAAAGCACCTCACTTTCCACTACAACTTCACCTTATTTAATCATTGGGAAATCATTTTAATGCCAGCCACTGCTCAACTTGCTTATTCTTTATGCTTCACCCTGGTGCGTACTATCACCTGCACTATGTAAAAAGAAATGAGCACACAGCACACCTGTTTCCTAGGTAACATGCACAAGCTTGTGTTTCTGGAATTACGTAAGGAAAATATGCAAAATATCCATCCTCTATTCCCTGAGGGTAAGCAGTTCACTTTTTCATCTCTGTATATTCTGTGGTATGTAAGCTAGTGAGAGACACAGATCTAGTTTCTTTCAAAGTTACCAAGTTGGAGTATTTATTTCAACCCCTTGTAAAGGGAATATGTACACTTACTATTATCACCTTCCATTTGTGGGAGGTTCTACTACTGCCTCCTCCCAGTAGTACACCTGGGCACAAGAATTCCTCTACCATTACACCAGTTGTGCAACAGCAACCTTAGTAGGGTAACCGAATCACTTTTCCATGCCAGAACTGCAGCCCTTATATGTCACATTGGTGGGCAACTGTAGAAAGGTCCACTACCCAGGCAAGAGCACACTACATATCACATAAAGGCAAGTTCAATTAATAATTGAGTATCACTGTCTTCTGCCTAAAGATCTAAGCTGCAGAGTAGAAGACATCTAAAAGGTCAGGCAGTAAAACCACAGGCAGAAGCTGCTATCATAAGCAATTACAGCAGAAGTAGTTTTTCAAAAACGTGGAAAAATGTGAAAATCAGTGGTGAAGGAACTGCTGACAAGTAAAGCATTCAGACACAATGTTGAGTTTTATGTAAAAAAGTATTTGTAAAAAGGAGACAGAAGATGGGATGTAGTCTGACAACTGCAGGAAAGCACAATCAGTTAAAGCATCCTTTATCAAAAGAAGTGTGACCAGTAGGTCAAAGGAGATGATCCTGCCTCTCTACTCTGCTCTCATGAGACCCCACTTGGAGTACTATGCACAGTTCTGGTGTCCTCAACATAAGAAGGACATGGAGCTGCTGGAGCAAGTCCAGAGGAGGGCCACGAGGATGATCAGGGTGCTGGAGCACCCCCACATACGAAGACAGGCTGAGAAAGTTGTGGCTGTTCAGCCTGGAGAAAAGAAGACTGTGTGGAGACCTCAGAGCAGCCTTCTGGTATCTGAAGGGGGCCTACAAGGATGCTGGAGAGGAACTCTTCATTAGGGACTGTAGCAATAGGACAAGAGGTAATGGCTTTAAACAGGAGAAGTTCAGGTTAGATATAAGGCAGAAGTTCTTTCCTGTGATGGTGGTGAGGCACTGGCACGGGTCGCCCAGAGAAGCTGTGGCTGCCCCATCCCTGGCAGTGTTCAAGGCCAGGTTGGACGGGGTCTACAGCAACTTGATCTAGCGGAAGGCATCCCTGCCCATGGCAGGGGGGGATGGAACTAGATGATCTTATGGTCCTTTCCAACCCAAACCATATGGTTCTATGATTTTATGAAAGTTTAGTCACTTTAATAGAGAGCAGCAATAAGTAAATTATTTCTCGAGCAATAGCACCAACAATACCTGGCCTTCGAAGGCCTGCACCTCCCCGGTGAATGCTCCCACCCCTAATGGAATGAGAGCTCTCACTCAGCTTCTCTCCATCCCAGTG